CGGCGATGGCGACGGCAACGGCGGTGGCGGCAAGCAATTGCGATGGTTACGCGGCGGCGACGAGCTTAAGTGGAGGGGGAGGTCAGCCGGGGGTGGTGATGGCGAAAGAGAGAGAGGGTTGGGGCTGAGGGGGCGCCAGCCGGCGATGATGGGGCGGCACGACGGCGGCGACGGGCTACTACAGCGAGCTGGCGACGGCGAAGGCTACGAGCTCGAGCAAGGCGTACGAGCAAGCTGGACGGCGGCGAGCTCGGCTGGACGAGCGGCGAGCACACAAGCAAGCGGCAGTCGCGGCGGCGAGCTTGCTACTCGCGCGAATAGAGGCAGGGGAGGAGTGGCCGGGGGGTTCGATGGTGATGGTGGCGGCGACAGGCGACGAGCAGAGCTCGGGCGGCGGCGACGGGCTGCCGCACGCACACGAAGGAGAAGGAGAAAGACAGTTGGCCCAGGGGGCACGGCGGCGGACGGACGAACTGCGCGACAGTGGTCAGGTGACGGCGGCGACGGCGACGGTGCTGGAGGCGAGCTCGGTCGGCGTCAGCTGGGGCGAGCAGAAGCAGGAGAAGAAGCAGAAACAATGGCGCAGCGAACGAGAGAGAAGAAGAAGAAGAGAGAAGGAAGAAGAAGAGAAAAGAGGAGAGAGAGAGAGGGGGAGGGCATGGGTCTACATAGGGGAGGGGGAGTGGACGTGCGTGGAGAGGACAGTAGAAGACGCGGCACAGGGAAGAGAGAGAGAGAGAGAGAAAATTCAACGCAATAATTACGATCCAATGGTCACGGTTTAAACCAAAAAATGATCTAACGGCCCACGAAAATCCTAATTAATAATATAGGAAAAAGGGCCAAAAGAAAATAGCCCAAAACACACTACGAGGGAGGTCTACTAATCCAAATTCGCACCCGGTAAAAAATCTACTTTTCACATATCTCAGGTAATCTCGAGGCTGGCCACAATAATATTAACACCGTCCAATTAAATTTGTCCCGGAATTCCAAGAAATTTGACACCAAATTTTGGGCTCTAAATAACAGCCAAATTCGATCAAGTCCGATTCTAGCGAAATCTCCAATTTAAAAATAATAACCGAGAATGATCAGTTCCCGGGCGAAATTTTACTATAAGCACACTGATGAATTACACGTTTTATAAATCCCAAAAATGGGCTGAAATTCGGAATGTCACAACTCTTCCCCCTTTACAAAAATTTCGTTCTCGAAATTTACAATCCAACAAACCTATTCAAACAAATGGGGGTTTTGGTGTCGCATCAACTCTTCTCTTTCCCACGTTGCGCCATCGATTCCATGGTGCTCCCAAATCACCTTGACCATCGAAATTGTCTTGCTCCGCAACACTCGTTCCATTCTGTCCTCGATCTTTACTGGCTTTTCCACGTACGACACTCTGTCGTCCACGTCTATTTCTTCATAATTTAGCACGCGGGTCGGATCCGGCTTGTACTTCCTTAACATGGACACGTGGAACACATTGTGCACTTGAGACAAATTCGGCGGTAACGCGAGACGATAAGCCAGGGTGCCAATTCTCTCTAAGACCTCAAATAGACCTACGTAGCTCGGGCTTAACTTTCCTTTCTTGCCAAACCGTGACAATCCTCTCATCAGCGACACTTTGAGGAAAACGCGGTCCCCTACTTAAAATTCCAAAGGCCTACGTCTCTGGTCTGCATAATTCTTTTGACGGCTCTGAGCAGCCTTAAGCCTGTCCCGAATCACCTTGATCGCTTCGACTGACTGCTGAACCAACTCGGGGCCCGTGATGCTCCTCTTACCCACTTCATCCCAACAAACCGGTGTTCTGCAAGCTCTGCCATATAGTGCTTCAAATGGTAACATTCTGATACTCTGCTGGTAGCTATTGTTGTAAGCAAATTCAACCAAATGTAACTGTTCCTCCCAACTACCTTTAAAATCCAATATACACGCTCGCAGCATGTGTTCTAAAGTCTAAATCGTCCTTTCAGACTGACCATCGGTTTGGGGATGATAGGCCGTGCTAAACTGTAACTTCGTTCCTAATGCCGTATGAAGACTTTTCCAAAAGCGACAATAAACTTGGGATCACGATCCGAGGTGATCGTCACTGGCACTCCATGTAAACAAACTATCTGTTGTACATACAGGCCTGCGTACCTTTCTAACGCGAAGTCCTTTCGCACTGCCTGAAAATGTGCTGATTTTGCCAATCGGTCGACTACCACCCAAATCGAATCATGACCCCTTTGACTTCTCGGTAATCCCATCACAAAGTCCATCGTGATGTCCTCCCATTTTCACTCGGGAATTTCCAATGGCTGCAACATTCCACCCGGCTTGCAATGTTGCGCCTTCACTTGCTGACATGTTAAACACTTGGCAATGTGCTTGGCTACATCCACTTTCATGCCGTTCCACCAATAATGTTGTCATAAGTTCTAATACATTTTCGTACTACCCGGGTGAATACTGTAATTGCTACGGTGTGCTTCAGACAAAATCTCTTCCATCAGTTCTGCATCACCGGGTATACATAACCAACCACGGAACTTCAGAATCCCATTCTCGAATACCTGAAAATCCAATTTCCTTTTTGTGACCTCCATACCCAAAATCTTCTGAATCTCCGGGTCCGTCGATTGTAAAACCTTAATCTTAGTCTGTATTTCCGGTTCAATCCTCAATGCTGCAAGCTGACTCGAGACATGACTCACTTCAAACTTAAATTCCGAATCCCGAACTCCCTCCAACAGACTCCATTCCTTGATCATCATATGTGCGATGCTCGATTTCCGGCTCAGTGCATTCGCTACTTTATTAGCTTTTCCAGGATGATACATAATCTCGCAGTCGTAGTCCTTAAGGAGTTCCATTTAACGACACTGTCTCATGATCAATTCCTTCTGGGAGAACAAGTACCTTAAACTCTTATGGTTCGTATAATCTAAAATTTCTCCCCACACAGGTAGTGTCTCCAAATCTTAAGAGCGAAATAATCGCGGCCAATTCCAAATCGTGAGTCGGATAATTCAGTTCGTGTGGTCTCAATTGTCGCGATGCGTATGCCACCACTTTTCCATGTTGCATTAGTACGCATTCCAATCCTCTTAGCGACGCGTCACTGTAGATCTCATAACCTCCCGGTCCTGACGGGATTGTTAATACTGGCGCGGTCGTCAACCTCTGCTTTAACTCCTGAAAACTCCTGTCGCACTTAACCGTCCATTCAAACCTCGTTTCCTTCTTTAGTAACCGCGTCAGAGGCATTGCCAATGCCGAAAACCTTTCCACGAAACGTCGGTAATAACCCGCTAAACCCAAGAAACTCCGAACCTCGATTACCGTTGTCGGCCTCGGCCAATTCATGACAGCTTCGATCCTTGTCGGGTCCACTGCAATTCCTTCCCCGGATATCACCTGTCCTAAAAATACCACTCGACAAAACCAAAACTCGCACTTACTGAACTTAGCGTAGAGTGCATGTTCTCTTAAAGTGTGTAGAACCTTTTTCCAAATGTAGCTCATGCTCGGCGGGTCTCTTCGAGTATACCAGGCTATCGTCTATGAATATGATTACAAACTGATCAAGAAATTCCTTAAATACCCGATTCATTAAATCCATAAATGCCGCAGGACCGTTAGTTAATCCAAACGGCATCACCGTAAACTCATAGTGCCCATATCTCGTCCTGAATGTCGTCTTCGGCACATCCTCTTTCTTAATCCTCAATTGGTGATAGCCAGTCCTCAAGTCGATCTTTGAAAATATCGACGCCCTTTGTAACTGGTTAAACAAGTCATCTATCCTTGACAACGGGTACTTATTCGTAGTGGTCACTGGATTCAATTATCTGTAGTCAATACATAACCTTAACGATCTGTCTTTCTTCCTCATGAACAACACTGGCGCTCCCCACGGAGACGCACCCGGACAAATGAAACCTTTATCCAAAAACTCTTATATTTGAACCTTTAATTCCTTCAATTCTGACAACGACATCCTATAGGGCGCTTTCGAGATCGATTCTGCCTCTAGGGCTAACTCAATCACAAACTCCACTTTTCTATCAGGTGGCAATCCCGACAATTTCTGAGGAAAGACATCGGGAAGATTACACACATCGGCTATGTCCTTTAGCTTTGGCTCCTTAACCAACGAGTTAGTCACAAGATAGTTATCTTTCCACACCTCAAAGACAAGGCTCAATCCATCCAATTTCAATCCAACAGTCTCCCAAATTAAATCACCCCGGTTCTTTACAAAATCCGAAATTTCCAAGTGATAACTCATTCATCCAAATCTTGTCAAAAGATATCATCAGTAATTCCAAAATACAAAAAGAAACTGATTGCGTCAATTCACCATGAGCAATTATACGTATTATATGGCCATTCAAATCTAAAATTCCCAAAAACCACTTCTAATACACCAAATATTCTTATACATCGCATTTAGACCCTTAAGACAAGTCATTCGCTTCTTTCCCAGCAACAACTTACACTTTTCCTGACGCCCGTAGTCGATTCTAATTATTCGGTGGAGCAGCTCCCGCTTGATGTCCTACTCACGGTGGCCATGGTTGTATCGGTGGCCTATTTTGATTGGCTAGCTGGATAGCTCCGAGCTGATTTCCATTCCGGGGCGGCGGTGGCAGTAGTACAAGCGACCTAGCCTGCCTATTATTGGGGCATTTCCTGAGCTGATGGCCCATTCCGCCACATATAAAACACGCTCCGCCTCTGTTCGGGCAAGGTCGGCTACTGTGTCTCCCTCCGCATAACCTGCACGGGGCGTTCTGCAAGCAATTCGGCTTCCCTATATTCCTCCGAGCGGGAGGGACGAAGCGACTATTTCCCGCCATGGGCCTTTTTCCAAATTGGCGATTGTCCCTGGCCGGGGCATACCGCGATCCAGAGGCGGTAGCCCGATTCATCAAATCACGCTCAATTGCCTGAGCCCGGTCATAAATCTCATGATAGTCCCTCAAGTTTAGGGAGATCGTCTAACTGCGGAGATCCGGCTTCAGTCCATCTCGGAACCACCGGGCTTTGCCCACTGGGTCCTCTATCATTCTTGGGACAAACTTAGACAGCCTTGCAAACTCGGCCTCATATTGATCTACCCACATCTGACCTTGGCAAAGCCTCATAAATTCAGCCAACTTCTGCTCTCGGGCACTTTTCGAGAAATACTTGCCAATGAAGGTCTCGATAAAAATAGTCCAAGTCGGAACAGTACCAGCGGGGAACACTTGACTTCTGGTGGCTCTCCACCAATCGCTTGCGTTATCCTGAAGCTGGTAGACTGCCAGGGTTACTTTTTCCTCTTCCGTGCATCCCAGCACTTCGAAAGCTTTTTCTAGCTCTTCCACCCATCGAGGTGCAGCCTCAGTATTACCTCTACCATTGAACCTCGGAGGCTTCAACTTCAGAAACTGTTCGACTAGCTTAGACATTGGTGTGTTTGCATTTACTTGGCCCTGAGCTGGATTCCCATCATTCCCGTTGCTCCCATTGTTTCCATTAGCCCCAATAGCGGCGGCAACAGCGGCCTCTGCAGCAGCAGCGACAGTAGCATTCCGCTCTTCAGTCTGTCTACCCATTAAAATCCCGACTTCTTGTAGTGCCCTCAAAATTCCATCCACCCGGGGATCCTCTGCAACTCTAGCTTGCGGGGCCATACGACCTCGACCTCGACCTGACCTCGACCTCTTCCTCGGCTACTCATTCTCACGGGATTCTCACACTCGCCTACTTGCTATAATTCCGCTCAGGAATTAGAGACCTTGGCCAGCTATACCAGTCTAAAGCCCTAGGCAGTGAATCGCAACAACAATTCACTAAGCAGGCAGCCAATCACAAACAACAGCTAATCACAACCAACAAAGTTCATGCACTTACCTCAAGTCCTAACGCACCTACACCTCACACATTAACGCATAAAATCACTCAGCAACCACAATCACACAGTCTGGGATACGCATGGCTCACAAGTCTCCCTAACTAACTACCCCAAAGTCATCGCTCCTTATCACTCCAGGATTCGACCAACTTGGATCGAGCTAACCTTGCTCTGATACCAAATCAACGGGTGTGTCACGCCACGAACCCCAACGGGCTCGCGACATCCCTCCGACGGTCGTATTGAACGCGACGTCCCAGGACGCATCGCCGACCCAAACGAAACACCCAACGATAAAGGCAAGCGGAGGCGAAATTAAATAACCCAGACAATAAATAATGACAAAGGGGTAGCACAAAACAATAACTCCAACTACACAACATCAAAAGGGAAAAGTGGTTGGATATCCTACTTCGCTATACAAAAGAGGGATACACAAAATATGGGGTAACTTGACCCGTCCTCCATCCCTGAGATACCATGGTGGCATCTCCAATCAATTACGGTTGCGGATCTGAAAATGATTATATAATAACCGTGAGAACGAGTCTCAATAAGCAACACCCTAAACCCCACCTAGGCCAATGCGTACCCAGACGAGTCTCAACATGCAATCTAACAATTGACATACTAGAACTCACATAAACATACATACCTCGCCTCCATTCACACGCCAACTCTGCATAATAGTCAAATCATATTAATGCATCCAGTATAACTCATATTCAGAGCACACAAGGAAATTTCCCATGCATCATACAACAACACTCGCGCGTGTCTCGATTATAAGGTAAAACCACTTGGGCACGTCCCATACCATGCCTAGCGGTATTCACTCTACAATCAAACACTATGCAACATGCGTGGTCCAGCCAACTTTCTCACGACCTCCCAGGTCCTTTCACACTGCCCGCGCTACTGCGCCTCAGGCCCATTCTCACAGCCCGTACTACTGCGCCTCAGGCTCATTCTCACAGCCCCCGCTACTGCGCCTCAGGCTCACCCCTCCGATTTGTCCGGGCTTTGTCCAATGACCCGCGTAAACACGCATCGGGTCTATCCTGCCTCATGTTATTTGGACAGGCACACACGTCAGAAACTTCAATCGATTCCATGCCAATCATCCCAATCAATCCATGCAAATATCAAACTCAATTCATAAAGCATCACAAGCTAGCCACATTGCACAATCATCAATCTAACACATTGCACATATTCAATTTCAAGTCATGTGCTTGCCACTATGGCCCACAATTCCAACATTTGACCCAGTCATATTCAACCCCTGATCCATCACAAATCGGCCACCATCAAGCATCAAATTGCACTCGCAAGCACCACGACAAACCAGCCACATACGTGCCCATCAATCAATCATAGACTCCAATTCTAATCACAAACTCATCACACGAACCCGCCAATTCAACACTCAATCGGCCTAATCAAACGTCAATTTCACCCACACCCGCCATGACAATTCGATCATTGTACCCACATAATTTAGCCACTAAACATGCCACATAATCACCACAATTCAATCCACCGATTAACCATATTTTTAATTTGGCCCTAACCCAAGCTTTCCTACTAAACCCGTACTAATTAACCCCTAAACAAGTCTATAAATACCCAAAGTACTAGGTAGGGATTAGGAAGTCACTTACCAGGTTTTGGCCCGGGAAAAACCAACTCGGGCCTAATATGGCCCGGGTGAACAGTGCTGGAACGGCACAGGCACGGGCACGGCGGTCGGCCATGGGCAAGGCGCTCGGCACGGCCCTCGGCCTTGGGCGTGGCGCTCGGCCACGGGCAAGGCACTCGACCAAGCACGGGCAAATGGCCGGGCGAGCCCAGCGGGCGCGCGGGCCGGGACGGGCGGGCAATTGGCGAGATGCTTTCGGCCACGGCCCGAGCAAGCTCGGCACGGCCGGGCGAGCGCCTTGGGCCGGCTTGCAGGCTGCTCGGCCACGGCCTGGGTTGGCTGGTCGGCTGGCTGGCTACCTAGCCGGCCGGGGCGGGCGAGCGGCGGCGGCGACGGCGACGGCGTCGGTGGAAGCGGCGACGGCTAAGGCGACGGCGGCGGCGGCGGCAGCAAGCAGTTGCGATGGCGACGCATCGGTGATGAGGTGAAGGGGAGGGAGAGGTTAGCCGGGGGTGGTGATGGCGAAAGAGAGAAGGGGCTGAGGTTGAGGGGGTGCCAGCCGGCGGCGATGGGGCGGTACGACGACGGCGATGGGCTACGGCGGCGAGCTAGCGACGGCGATGGCTACGAGCTCGGGCAAGGCGTACGGGCGAGTTGAGCGGCGGCGAGCTCGGCTGGACGAGCGGCGAGCATACAAGCGAGCGGCGGTCGTGGCGGCGAGCTTGCTGCTCGCGCAAATAGAGACGGGGGAGGAGTGGCCGGGGGGGTTCGATGGTGACAGTGGCGGCGGCAGGCAACGAGCAGAGGTCAGGTGCGGCGGCACGCAGTGGCGACGAGCTGCCGCACGCGCGTGAACGAGAGGGAGAAAGGAAGTTGGCCTAGGGGGCACGGCGGCGGACGGACGAACGGCGCGACGGCGGTCAGGCGATAGCGTCGATGGCGACGGTGCTGGAGGTGAGCTCAGTCAGCGTCAGCTGGGGCGAGCAGAAGCAGAAACAATGGCGCGGCGAAGGAGAGAGAAGAAGAAGAAGAGAGAAGGAAGAAGAAGAGAAAAGAGGAGAGAGAGGGGGGAAGGGGACGGCTCTGCATGGGGGAAGGGGAGTGGACGTGCGCGGATAGGACAGGAGCAGACGCGGCAGAGGGAGGAGAGAGAGAGAGAGAGAGAGAGAAGAAAAGCGATAATTACGATCCAACGGTCACGGTTCAAACCCAAAAATGATCTAACGGCCCATGAAAATCCTAATTAATAATATAGGAAAAAGGGCCAAAAGAAAATAGCCCAAAACACACTACGAGGGATGTCTACTAGTCCAAATTCGCACCCGGTCAAAAATTCACTTTTCACATATCTCGAGTAATCTCGAGGCTGGCCACAATAATATTAACACCGTCCAATTAAATTTGTCCCAGAATTCCGAGAAATTCGACCCCAAAGTTTGGGCTCTAAATAACGGCCAAATTCAATCGAGTGCGATTCTAGTGAAATCTCCAATTTAAAAATAATAACCGAGAGTGATCAGTTCTCGGGCGAGATTTTACTATAAGCACACTGACGAATTACACGTTTTATAAATCCCAAAAATGGGCCGGAATTCGGAATGTCACATAAACAAAGCAGTGTAAATATGCTACAGGTATCATATCGACATTCTCTCATTTACACAAATAACTATTCTTCTTGCCATTGCAAAATGCACGTAGTTCATTGGCAACAAAGTGAGGCTGAACTTAACTATTTGGAAAGAACCCAAAGCATAAGTGGAGCATAAAAGGTGGTTGCAATCGCTCTTGATGGGATTTGACTTTGCGATTGTGGAAGTTAATGTCACTTCCCATGAGCCATGGTGAAACTCTAAAGCTCTCGCTAGCCAAGAGAAGTGTAACAATCCAGTCTAATGAGGGCGGGAAGTGGTCACCAAAGCCAAAGGGCTCGGACTAAAAGCCTCCCAGCAGGCTTCTAGGATGGTGAAGGGGCATGAATGAATTGAATTGTGTACCGAACAGGAAGAGAGCGTGTTTGGGATATATATGTGAAATCTGTAATTGACTAACGGAGACATCTTTTGACATAATAACAAGCTTTGCTTTGGAACTCCAAAGTTAAGTATACACAGGCTAAAGCACTACCAAGATAGGTGACCTCCTAGTAAAATGCATGCTTGTAAACCAAAAGACAAAACCGTGAGGCTTGGTGTGGGGCGAGCCAAAGTGAACAATTCCTGGAGTGAGTTAATCAAAGGATGTCACAATATGGTATCGGAGCGGGACTCCATCCAATAGATGTGTGGTTTGGGGACAAACCACACGGAAGCTAGTGGGCCTGTAACAACCCTTCAAGACGATTGTCAACCAATCAATATATCACGCATAATTAGTATCTTCCACGTCGATATTTCTTGAGATTGATAATCAATCAATTTCTTCAATTTAGGAATTCAAGTTAGATCACTAGCTGTCATAAATATTCGGATAAAAATAGTCAATGGATATTTTTATTGAAATTTCTTGAGCACGTGATAAAGCTGTTGCGTAGGTAATATAATAGCTCTACTTATATTAGCAGTTCTCGGTTATATCTAGTTTCCCGACAGTATCAGTTTCTGGTTATATTAGGTTTCTTGATGATATTCAACTGCGTCTCTTTAAGCAACTTAAGTACATTTGAAGATGTAGATCATGTGACCTTCTTCACCATGGTAACTCCAAGTATTTTCACATTCTCCTAGACTTGTTCACACTTAAGTTCATTTAGTCTTCACAAATCTTTTTCTTGTGTACATATAAATTACCTTTAAAACAAATATTACAAGAAGAATAAACAACATTTGCATTTATCAAGCTCGTAAAGTATCATAAATTGTTTTGTCAACTTTAAACTATTATAAGAGGTTTTCTCAATGAGTCTAAACCTCAGCACTTGCTCCAACAACTCCCAACGGCTCATAACTCCTCAGAAGCATTTCCAACAGTTGGACGATGAACATCTATAAAAAGAGGATCAATGTAGTTGGAAGGGGTTGGACGGAAAATTGAGAAAACGTACATGTTATTATCTTCTT